ATCTTCTGCTGTACTGCAAGGAGGTTATGATACGCATGAAAACAAATGTCTTTACAGAAGAAAACTATGAAAAGATGTACTTGGGAACTGATGACTAGCAAGCAAGGAAAAACAACTGAAAGCTACATCTCAGGTTCCAAGTCTCCTTGATGTATGAAGTGATTGCAGAGATGGAGGAAGTTGTGAAAGCAGCTAGGGGATTTAGCAATAATAGGCTCCACTTTGTACATATGATTTTAAGGTATTAGTCAACTTTGGAGGGGAGGGAAATATTCAGCAAGCAGTTATAAAATTGGCATTTCATTCATTCCTACTTATCTGCCAAGCACTATGCTAGTGAGCTATGTAGTCCCCAATCTCAAGAGGCATACAGGGGAGTAATGGAGGAGACAATACATAAAAAAGAACAATCAGATCATAGAAACACATCCAGGGTATTATACAGTAACAACAAGGACCAGCACAAGGCATGAAGAGAAGTTTCTGGGAGGAGAGAAGATATACACTAAGATTTAAAAGAGGAGTGGGAATTAGACAGGCAACATTGAAGAGATAGGCAATAGGGAAAAGAATGAAAGAGAGGATCCAAGCGTAATGAAGAAAGGAAAGAAGAAGAGCATGGAGTGCGGAAATCCCAGCATACAGGTCAGGTTGCACAGCGTAACATCCCAGGTGTGAAACAGCAGCCAGTGGAAAATGATGGGCCAGGCAGCCAGGCATCTCTCCCTCCTTCAACACAGTGGTGTTGAAGAAAAGAACAAAGCATCGAGGAGTCAGTTGGTTCCCTTTGTAAAGGAGACTGGATTTCATCTTATAAGCAGTAAGCAGCTATCAAAGACTTTTAAGTAGAGGAGTGATGTGGCAATTTCAGTCTTGGAAAGAGATCTGGGTTAGAGACAGAGAAATTGGATTTATTACAGACTGGGGATGAAGCAAAGCACTCAGATCATATCAGTTTGATGTCACACAGCTTATGTCACTGAGCCATGACTGAATGTCCTGTCATCTAACTTCATAAATAAGCTGTCTCCTTGCTATGTTCCCATTCAAACACTGTGTATTTTTTTTGCAAAATCATGGTGCAATGTATCGCTTATTTCTCAAAATAGCCATTCTACAGTTCTTATTTCATAAGCTTCTCTTATAGCTATCTTTTTAAGATATATTTCAAACTCTGACCTAAAATAAATACCATACATATTCCAAAACATTTTCCTTTTTGTGCACACCCCCCCCCTTTTCGTTCATTAAAAATTTACTGAAAAGCAGCTGTGTATCATATACCATGCAAGCTGATTCAGGGCATTCAGGGCAGTTAAAAAAAAACAAAAACAAACAACAATAGGAGTTCTGCCCTTTAAGGGTTAACACATGGCCTCATGAGTCAGACACAATGAATAAACTGAATTTAAATGGAAGCTCTGTACTGAGCTGTAGGAATACCAGGAAGAGAGGTTGATTTTTATTAGGAGCTTCATGGAAGAGGTGGTATTTGAGCTAGACCTTAAAAAGTAGATGTAGATAGGAATTTCTAAAATTTAGCACAGATAGCTGCTTCACTCCAGCACCTGAAAATACCCATCTCTTTTCTGCAGATGGTCTATTTTATTTGGTCCCTACTGCTCTTAAATTTCTGCACATCTTGAAATGTTTTGAAAATATATACCTTGTATCAATATGACAAAGAAAATGCAGTAACAGTTCATTTACAAATCTTCCTGCTCTAAATCAAAGAACCATGGAACCATTAAACATGTAGGTTGTAACATCAGATAGAAAGATACAAAAGCCCAGCAGTTCCTAAAGTGCCCTTGGTCCCCAGGAGCTGAGGGAGAAGATACACTCCCATCTCTACAAGTTTTCTCTATGGCAGTGATGGGGGTAGTGGAGCATGGGGTGCCCGTGGCTCTAGATGCACACAATCAATTACCTTCTCTTGGATTTTATTATTTATTCCCATTTACAGAAAATATCAATAGGAAGTTTTCCTCTCCAACTTTTAAAATCCCCATTTACTGTGAAATAAACATTTTTGTTGTATATGACTAGAGCATGATGTGGTTTTCACATCCCCTGTTTAAGCCCAACTTCTGAACAGCTGCCTGGTTTCTACATATTAATGTCTTTGTGCCCATGAGTCTCAAGATCAGTAACGAAATCAAGCTTTAGCTTGATCAATTCCTAGACACTCAAAACTGGCGGGAATCTGTTCTTAAAATCTGAATTACTACATTTTGCCTGAAGCATATATATTTTTGGTTAAGTTTATTCATTTTTGGAATTTTCCAACAAATTTTTTTTCAAACCTCTTATTCTTGTGTTTTCCCTATCTAATATTGTCCTTTAAATTGTACTTTAAATTTTTTCTGATGCCCTAATCCCTAAAATTTCCTCTGTTTTCCCTTCATTCTCTGCTATTGTTTACCTCTTGGGAAGAATGTGATTAGGATATCACACAGCTGTTTCATTCTCTCCTTCATTCTGGAAATCAGATTAGCATGGAATTTATTATAATTCACTACTTTATATCCTAGTCATCAGGAAAAGCTCCTAACTAGAAATCGCACAATGTGTAAAATAAATAAATAAAATAAGAACAGAAATTGAGTTTCTGTCTGATTATGGAATATTTATGAAAACTCATTTTTTCTCCTCAATTTATTTTTTTCCTAGATGCTACCACTCACTAGGGAGGCAGATCACTAGTAGAAGTCTGTGATTATATCTTTTATAAAGAAAGAAACTGATGGTTGTAATTAGAATGTACATTCATTAGTGAATGGATTTTCCTTTTGATGTGTTTTGAATCTTATCAATTTTCCTTAATTAGTCTCTTCTCTCCTGAGGGATGAAGGATGAAATCTCATTTCTGTTTATAAAGAAATGAAAATCATTACCTTAATAGAATTTTCCCCCTCTGTATTATTTGGAAAATATCTGAGGATACTGAACGTATTTTCTTCTCTTGTCTTCATATGGTCTTTCCTCATTTTTTTCTTATGAAATACAGAAATCCTTCTCTCCAGTCACTATCCACACATGTGCCCTACTGATTTAGTTTAGGTATAATTTGTGTAAAACTGCAAAGAAATAACACTACTTCTGAGCACTTCCATATCTAAAGTTGTTTATTTAGCTCAACAAATTTGAATTTTAGCATAACACTAAATGGGGCTCCCCAGGTGGCGCTAGTAGTAAAAAACCTGTCTGACAATACAGGAGACACAGTTCAGTCTCTGGGTGGAGAAGATCTCCTGGAGAAGGGAATGGCAATCCACTCCAGTATTCTTGCCTGGAGAATCATGGGCAGAGGAGCCTGGTGGGCTACAATCAGTGGGATGGCAATGAGTTGGACACGAGTGAAGCAACTTAGCACATATAACCCTAAAAGGAACTGATTAATTAGTGACAGGCTAAGAAAAAGACTCTGGAGTTACCATACCATCAAAATTTCCAGCTCACACTAACTGAAAAAGTTTGGGATTGGAGGCATCTTTTAGGAAATCAATCTTCTAACAATGAATAAGAAACAAAATGAGCAAGAAAAAAGAAAGGAAAAAAAAATATTCAGTGACTGTCTTTCACAAGAGACCTGTGCTATGCTACAACTTCATCTGAATTATAACCTTAAAAAGCAGATGCTTTCCTGGGAGCCTCCAGAGCCATGGAACACCCTTCTCTACCTTGCCTTTTGCCCGAGGAGGCTGACCTGTATGGACTTGATCAATAATTTGGCCCATGGGGTGTCCCAGCAGGGCGCTGGCAGGAGGGCAGCCATCAAGGCTTTGCTTGGCTCTGCCCCACAAGGGCCTCCTGCACTGCCTACGTCCCTGAATGGATGGCCATGACTCCTTTCATGGAGTCATGATGAACTAGAAATGACTCTCCTACCAGGTCCTCCTAACTGCTTTCTCTTCTTGTCTTTAGAGACTGGAGGATGTACAATAGCTCTGGTGCTATTAGATCCAGATTATTGTCCTAGACCTATGATTTCCCAATAACCACACTTTTGTAAGTAACCTAATGTGTATATCTACCTAGATACATACAAGATCTGTATGTATGTATATGTACACTTACATACACATGTATACATACATATGGGCCTTCCCTGGAGGCTTAATGCTAAAGAACCCGCCTGCCAATGCAGGAGATGTGGGTTTGATCCCTGGGTTGGGAAGATCTCCTGGAGTAGGAAATGGCAACCCACTCCAGTATTCTTGTCTGGAAAATTCCATGGACAGAGAAGCCTGGCAGACGGCAGTCCATGGGGTCCCAAAAGAGTCAGACATGACTTAGTGAATAAACAACAACACAATACATACATACACAGTGGTTAAAGAGACCATGTTTTTCTTCAAATCTTCTAAGTTAATGGCTTTTAAATATCCCTGTTTTTCACAGCTTATTAAAATAAAACAAAAACATTAACTTGATGAGAAAATGCTGTGCTGTGCTAAGTTGCTCAGTCGTGTCTGGCTCTTTGCAACCCCATCTACTGTAAGCTTTCCTGGCTCCTCTGTCTATGGGGATTCTCCAGGCAAGAATACTAGGGTGGGTTGCCATGACCCCCTCCAGGGGATCTTTGCAACTCAGAGATCGAATCTAGGTCTCCTGCATTGCAGGTGGATTCCTTACTGTCTGAGCCTCTAGGGAAGCCCTGATGAGAAAGTGAAAGAAGGTGACGTCGCTCAGTGGTGTCCGACTCTTTGCTACCCCATGGACTGTAGCCTACCAGGCTCCTCGGTCCATGGGATTTTCCAGGCAAGAGTACTGGAGTGGGTTGCCATTTCCTTCTCCAGTGAATCTTCCCGCCCTAGGGATTGAACCCGGGTCTTCCGCATTGTAGGCAGACGTTTTACTGTGTGAGCTAACCAGGGAAGTCCGTGAGACAATATCTATTATATTTTGGCAGCTTAAGTGACCAAACAATAATGTAGTCACTATTACCTCATTTATGGAGGAGACAGTAATGTAGGATTTTAAGCCTTCACACTTACACAAAAAAGAATCGTGTGCAGACATGATCAGTATTCGGGACGACCCATATCTCCCCATGTTTGTGCAGGTCAGGTGAGGTGATCACTGTAAAGGGAAGATAAAATGAAAGAATATTTTATTCTGAATTACTATCTCCCTTTTCTTAGAAGTCCAAAAGCAAAAATGCATGTACAAATTAACATATGAAAAACATTTCATCTTATTAAACTATCAAAAAATGTAAATAAGAACAGTGAAATGCCAAGTAGCAATTTTATGTTTGGAACACACTTAGCATAATAGGAAGGAAATCACTTTGTACTCATGATGGCAAACAGGTCCTAGCTTGGGAACTAGGTAGAAGGCCACCTTACATCCTCTACAACTATCAAATGTTGAAAAACCTAAAAGACAGTTAACAGTGGTTACCAAAACTCCCACAGAAGAAGAAAAAATGAACTTTTAGCCAAAGTCAGATTTTAAAGCAAGAACAAAGGAAAGTATATGATATTGTAAATCACCTATCAATTTTCTATCCCAAGTTCAGAAAAGAAGAATAAGTTCAGTGTAGGAACAAGAAAGACCTCCTGGGTTATCTACTCAGGGCTCAGTTCATCTTTCAGAGTTTTCATGGTATTATACATTCAGAAGCCAACATAAAGAGGAAGGGGTATAGATGAACAATAGAGAGGAACAATACTTGATCAAAAAGAGATAATTACTCTTCTGAGATAGCTGCCAAGAATAAAATATAGCACGGTTTGAAACCTTGCCAGTTCTGCTCTTTGTTTTAACCTTTATGATCTCTGCTGTATTTTCCATCTATGCTCTTCGTCATAAGAAACAAAGCTTTCACTAGTCCATTATGAGCATTTTGTAAACACACTTAAATTCTTAAATACTGTTAAGATTGAGAATAAAAAACAACTAAAGTCACATTATTCATCAGATGGATTTTAATTTTTCCGGAATGCTTGTTTTCTCTGAAACAACAAGGGATTTGTGCTTGCTCTTCTCTATGCCTGGAATGTTCTTTCTCCCAGAGAGCCACATGGCTCATGCACTCATCACTTACAGGTCTTCACTCAACTAGAACCTTCTTTCCCCATCATCCCATTTAACATTCATTCTAGTTCCATCTTCAATCCATAGCATTGAGCATCCCCTTTCCCTGATTTTTATCCAGAAGATTTACCACCATCTAACATTCTACTAAAATAAATATTTAATTAATTTATTAAAGTTTTCCTGGATGTGGACCATTTTAAAAATATTTATTGAATTTGTTACTATATTACTTCTGCTTTATGCTTTGGTTTTTTGGTCTGTAGGTATGTGGGATCTTAGTTCCCTGACCAGGGACTGAATCCTCAACCCCTGCATTGGAAGGTAAAGTCCTAACCACTGGACCAATAAGAATCCCCAAAGTTAATTTACTTATATCCACTCAGTAGAATGCAGGTTTCAAGAGGATTTGTCTATTGTAGACTATCACTATAGCTCAATGACTAGGAGCTGTCCAGCATTTTAGTAGAAGCTCAATAAATATTTGCTGCATACTGATTGAATAAAGGCATCTGAGTGATTATATTTTAGGGTGAGTTTTGTTTCTGTATAAGTATTGCCTAAAATAATTTTGCAGATTTAAAAAGCCTGAGTATTTATCAAAATCTTGCTGGCCAAGGGCACTAGAGTTCACCCATCAGAGACTGCCACCCAAGTTGCTACAATACCTGTGATGCATTGCTGTTTTTACTGCTTGAAGCCGGCTCATCCTTGGCTGACACCTTCTGCTTCTTGTTCATCCCTAAGAACATTAGCAAAGTAATAATTTAGGGACAAAACTGTATGATGCAGCTCAAAATACAATCCATCTACACTGCCAAGTTCCATTTTAGGCAAAGGCTTGACAGCATCAAGGCACAGACGGTCACAAAGGGCTCCTGAAGGAGCAGCCTCTGTGCCCGGAGCAAGGAGGGTGGAAAGTCAGTGGGTCTGGAAGTTCTGGTCAAGTTACAAAGTGGAAAACACAGATTGTTTTTCTTTGTGTTGAAAAGAAGGATAGGATCACCTCTTGCATAAAGTTGATATAATCAGAAAATGTTTTAAACTTGATTTTAAAAGGCTTTTAGGACCAAACTTTCATTCTTATCATCTGGTGATGAGAAAGTAGATAAGGGATGGGAAATAGGAACAATTTTTTAAAAATATTAATATTGCCACTTCATGAGTTGCTGATATATGCTCAATACCTATAGAATTTACTATTCCTCCTAACAAAGGAAAACTAAGTCCTTTTGTTTATGATACAAATCTTACCAGACTCTGTTAACTCCATGGCTTTTTTACTGTGAAATATTTCAGACAAAACAGAAATAAAATTCCTATCTGTTTAGAATAGGTAGATTTGTAGCTATACTTAAAAAAAAAATGCTCATCTACTATTCTGAAGTTGACACGCCTGTTTGTTGCTGTTTCAATAAAAGGCTTAATGAAAATGGGTAAAGTCTATGGGCCAAATTGCAAGTGGTGTGACGTAAGCATTTTCCAAAGCAGACATTCCCCCAGAGATGCAGAAGTAGGTGGAGTCAAGTTGAGAAACAGGCAGAAGGTTTCAGAGGCAGTTCTGAGGGAAGTGAAAGTGTGCTAGTCGCTCAGTCATGTCTGACTCTTTGCAACCCATGGACTGTAGCTCTCCAGGCTCCTCTGTCCATGGGAATCTCCAGGCAAGAATACTGGAGTGGGTAGCCATTCCCTTCTCCAGGGGATCTTCCCAAACTAGGGATTGAACCCAGGTCTCCTGCAATGCAGGCAGATTCTTTACCGTCTGATTCACCAGGGAAGCCTATCTGAGGGAAAGGCAGAGGCTATTATATGCGGACACTGGTCTGCTCTCTACCTCCTATACCTGCAGCCTTCAAAACCAAGTATGAAGGTACTTGAACTTATGGTAGAGGTTCTTACTTTTTCTTTTCAGATCAAGGACACTTAAAGAATTGGATGAAAGCTATGGATCCTCTTTCCAGATAGATGCACATTCACACAGACAAATTTCACATTCATTTGTATCCCCCACAAACCTGTCCATGAACCCATCTAAAGAGTCTGTACACCAGGATATGAAGCCGAAAATCGCAACACTTGGTGATTTGTTGTGTTTTTCTTATCTATGCTAAGGTTGCATTTATTTATTAAAACTGGTTTTATATTACTTTTTTATTGTGTTCTGGTTTAGTTAGATTTAGAATCTGACTTAAGCTGATTTGAATCATCTTCTCCACTGAACTATGTTATTTTCTTTCCTATACTATCTTATTCTTCTGATGTTTATTTTCCTAGTGTTATTTGGGAATACTGTATTTTCAAAGATCACTGCAACAATATTTCTCAACAATATGCTTTTCAACTATGTGACTTCGCTGCTCTTTCATCAGGAAATGGAGTTTAAATCCCCAGCCCTTGAATCTGGAGGGCCTTGTAACTGCTCTGACCAGTATCCGTATATGGGAAGCGGCACCATGTGACTTTTGACACTGAGTCATAACAGGCATACATGTCCTCTTAGGACGTGTACTCTGGAAAAGGTGAGGATAGAACTCTGAGAAATCAGATGCTGTGGCTGAAAAAGTATAAACTTGGAGAAAGGAATCAGAGAGGTAAGCCTAGTTAATGCTCCCCTAGCTATTAGACCTCTCTAAGTCTCATTTCCTATAACATGACGATCATAAGACTTACCATACAGACACCACATGAACAACATCTCCTGAAGCTGTCTAATAGAATCATGTAACCACACACACACACACACACAAGCACATAAGCAAAACCAATTATATATGTGCAGGCATACAGAATGCCAAACATAAAAGCATTTAAAAGTCTAAAGGGAAATGCACTGAACACTGAGACTGTAGGAAAGGAGGAAAATTTTTCATCTGTTATTTTATACCATTCTGTGTAGTTTCAATTTCTTAACAAAGAGCATAATTCAGTTCAGTTCAGTCACTCAGTTGTGTCCAACTCTTTGCGACCCCATGAACCGAAGCATGCCAGGCCTCCCTGTCCATCACCAACTCCCGGAGTCCACCCAAACCCATATCCATTGAGTCGGTGATGCCATTCAACCATCTCATCCTCTGTTGTCCCCTTCTCCTCCTGCCCTCAATCTTTCCCAGCATCAGGGTCTTTTCAAATGAGTCAGCTCTTCGCATCAGGTGGACAAAGTAATGGAGTNAGGGTGACAATATACAGCGTTGATGTACTCCTTTTCCTATTTGGAACCAGTCTGTTGTTCCATGTCCAGTTCTAACTGTTGCTTCCTGACCTGCATACAGGTTTCTCAAGAGGCAGGTCAGGTGGTCTAGTATTCCCATCTCTTTATATTTAAACAATATATTTTTGTTCTAAAAAAAAAAAACACCTGATCAAAGTAAAACATTCCAAAGAAATATCGTAAAGAAAAAACACCCCACATTTTTACTACCTGAAGATTACAGATGCTAACAATTTGGTAATCATTCTTGCCATATTTTGAATTCACGAGGCTCCTCCTTAGCACATGCTTTCAATTTATTCCAAAATTAAAACAAATCACCAAAATATTAACAATAAATTGTCAACAAGTAGTATGGTTTTGAGGGTGTCTTTCTAAACCTATGTTTTCCATACCATTTAAAACTTTTTTATGGGATATTTAATAACACAATCCAATTCAAAGGACATGAATTTGAGGAAACTCCAGGAAACAGCGAAAGACAGGGAAGCCTGGCGTGCTGCATTCCACGTTGTCACAAAGAGTTGGACATGACTGAGCGACTGAACAACAACATAATGATCCACAGGTAAGAAGTTGGCATGGTACAGAATTACATTCAATGATAGTCGATTAACTTGTATATAAACTTTACAGTGCTCTCCATAATACTTTGTACATACTGTATTATCAATGTTTCATGTAGATGGAATAAATATATAAATGACTGAAAATTAAAAGTAACATTAAAATTTGTCAGTTTTTGAAATTAACAAAACATATATTCCATGTTATACACTAGGGGAAATATTATAAATCTTGGCATGTGAGCTTCGTTTTTATTTCTGACATTTATCAAATGAATTTAATACAGATACATCAAATAAGCTTGTTCACTTGATAAAAAGGTGGTATAGCTCAGTTGGTAAAGAGTCTGCCTGCAATGCAAGAGACCTGGGTTTGATTCCTGGGTTAAAGAGAAGGAAATGGAGAAGGTAATGGCAACCCACTCCAGTATTCTTGTTTGGAGAATCCCACGGACGGAGGACCCTGGCAGGCTACAGTCCCTGGGGTTGCAAGAGTCAGAGATGACTTAGTGACTAAACCACCACCACCAGCTGGAATATACAACAACAGCAAAACCCTAATAAATTTGAGGTTAGAAATGGAATACAAGCTTACCTGAGTAACCAAATGATATGCTTGACATTGGACTAAGATAGATTCCACTTCCATACATTGCACCGTGGAGCTAAAATGGAAAGAGGTAGGAGAGGAAGCAGTCAGTTCATGGTTTTAAAGGTTAATATTTCACAAGAGAGGACCATCATCTCATGCTGGAACACTTAGCTCTTAGAAAATGTTAAAGCCCTTATTCCAAGGTCTATTTGGAATTTAAAATGAGCACTAATATCTTTGTCCTTAAAATTAAGAATGCATTGATATATAGAAAATGACAGCCAAGGAAAAAAATCCTTAGAAAAGATTTTCCGTTCTATCGATGACAGAGTCACTTAGTATAATGTACTAGAGTAGTATGTTAATGGCTCTAAAACACTGAAAATAAAACAGGATGAAACATATGTGACAGAAGGTTGATTAGGACTCACCTATTTGTGTATCAGTAAAATGTCCTACTCAGATTTTCATTATACAAGTGTCACCCCATTCTTCTCCTCCGAATTTTTCAAGTTACAGAGTGCTTTATTAACTGAAACTCTGACTAGTGTACTACTCAGAACAATCAAAGTTCTCTAATATTACTTCCATGTTCTAGGGCCCTCATACCCTTTTTGTTGTGCACCAAATATTAATTCAATCAATTTGTATTTATGGACATTAATATTTAATTGCATCATCCCAACTGTCATCAGAGTTTGTAATTTTGCACTGGTAACTGGGTTGAGGATCTCATTTCCTGACCTCCCAACATCATCAGATAAAAATGAGTGGGGTGGAATGCTAGAGATAAAGGGCATAAAGATGAGGACCACACCCAGTATATCCTGCCCACACGCTGCCCTGGGGCTTGAAAGGCAAGATAGCCGATGGCTCTTTGGTGTCCAGTCTCCACTCTGCTTATTCTTAGCCCTACCTTTCCTTCTGTTAAAGTATTCACAGTGAGACAGTGCTCAAGAAATGTGTTGGATTAGCAGAGAGAATTCTTGTAAGGTTTTACCTTTTTTCGGATCATCTTTTTCTTGTCATTGTTGTTCAGTGGCTAAGTTGTGTCTGACTCTTTGAGACCCAAAGGCCTGCAGCACGCTAGGCTTCCCTGTCCTTAATTATCTCCCAGAGTTTGCTCAAACTCACGTCCATTGAGTTGGTGATGCTATCCAACCATCTTATCCACTGTCTCTCCCTTTTCCTCATACCCTCAATCTTTCACAGCATCGTTTTTCTTTTCTTTTTTCCTAATTAAGTTTAAAGTGATTTTACTATTTCTCATAGGGAAACTCAATTTTCTTTTCATCCCTATGTTGTATATAGATCAATTCTGCTTGACTTTGTGAAAATTATGTATGTCCATTAGAAAGTCAATGTGATTTTTAAAAGCACACGTGCTTCATTCTTTTGTGAGTAAAAAAAATAACACCAGGACTGCTTACTGAACTCCCGTACTGAAGAATCATGAGATCACGTCAAAGCATTCTCAAAATGTACCTGCAGTCGTGTATTAGAAGCAACAACCAGACCATTCCTCAGGATGGAGTGCCAGTTTTCAATGTGTGAGCCACTAAAACACAGGGAAAGAAAAGGAAAAGCAAAATCAGGAGTCAGCGACATTTTAATGGGGTCACAATGTAACAAGCCATGGTGCCTTCTCACTGCTCTGAGCATCCTAGTCGAGTATCATGCAGGGACTGTCCTATGCTAACAGCCAACTACTAAAAGAGGATGCTTTCCTCCCCACACATTTATGGATGACTGGGCGGGAAACACACAGCCCTCAACAATAAGCCATACTCACTGAAATGCAAAGGTGCTTCCGAAGAGTTTTTTAGCAGCTCTAAAATTGGATTCTTTGGCTGGTGGACTGCTGAGAAGAAGGAACTGATGGGGTGTGTGCATGAACTTCAGTTGCTGCCATTTAAAATAAGGGCACAGGAAAACACATCAAATTTAATGTATAACAGGCTGATGACAAATTCAAGCGTTACTGGTTTAAGAATTATCTATTTTCAAACTATAATAATTTATATTAACAGGATCATTCATTTAAGAAATCCCCTGCATAAGTGATAAATCACATGGAATTGCTGATATGAAGGATAATTCTTTAGGCTAATGGAAAAGGAATAGCAGACAGACAATCCAAAGTCATTTATATTTAGCTTTGGAATATGCTATGTAATCACATTCAAGCAGATCTGCCTTCCTAATTACATTTCTGAGACATTTATTATTGAATTCCCTAAGTATCCACAAGCTATTTGACTGGGGAAATATCTGAGTTTGCTAAGCAGAAAAGTTAGTTCAAGATTTTAAAATCACAAAAATTATCATCATTATGCCTTATTTGCATATATTTGTAAAATCAGAAATTGCCAACACTCATATTATAGTTTTCCCCTTTGTTCATATAAAAAAAAAAGTAAAACAGACTCTCTTGAATTAGCTGCTTGATATACTGCCTGACACAAATTTCTAACTGCTGCTCTTCCACCTAAGATTATATGTACTTATATAGGGACCTAACATACAGGAATCTCATAGTTTAGAGATTCAGAGATGACAGACCTGAGATTGTAGATACTGCTCCCAGGTAATGACCAGAACTGAAATCAAACTGCATTAGCTTTTTTTTTTTTTAATTTTGTAAGCACATTAGGCCCATAAGTAAGATATCTGGAGTCAGCATCTCCTCTGATATAGAAAAGAGAAGCTGTGCCAACATTAAACTGACACTGATAAAAAGTACGCAATCTCTAGATAATGCTCTATCACATGTGGAATAACTAAATGATTTCATATTGACTCAGTTACTTAAAAGCTCAGGGCAGCAGCCTGAAATTGAATTTGGTTTCTTGGAAAGACTTGGAACTGGGGCATATATGGTCATTTCAAAGAATTAGGCTTAGCCTGAGTTTCCTTCAATTTTCTGGAGAGGCTGCCTAAAAAAATCACAACCAGTAAGTAGCCCTCCCATTTCTGCATGTATATGTGAAGAAACAACTTACCCTGTTAACCGGCAGTTTCACAATATGTGACCTATTACTTGAAATAACCCTGAAATTAATTAAAATAATCCATCAGTCACAAATATATACCACATATAAAGTTTTTTCCTCAGTTGGTAAGTGATTAAAACTTATTTTTGCTGTGACAAAAATTGGGTAATAATTTTATCTAATTACATCATTCTGCTTCACTTCCTGAAACAATTTAAAGAGCTGATGTAATTAAAAAAGATAATACTTTAATCTAAGAAAACACAGAAGTAGCTCTTTAAAATCTAAGAGATATAACTTTTAATAACCACAATCTAAGATTAGAACTTGAATCACAATCTGCTTTCTCTGCTCTTCTCTACAATGTCTAACTAAGCATGAGTTTTCATGGAGATTTTTTTCCTTTCTATAAATATTTGAGCATCTTTGCACTGGTTTACAGTGGCTTATGTACAAAATGTTATTAACTGTGTAAGACAATGAAGTTGAAAAAAAATCAAAATTGTAGGTATTTGAAAGAACTAATTGCTTTATACTTGTCAGCATAGAAAATCATAACTAAACAAATTGTAAAACATGTTAGTAAATTTCCCTCTGCTTGAAAGAAGAGTGACTAACAAGTTCAAGGAAATGATCACAAATAAAAGTGAAAAATCAAGCTGACTTTAGGGAAAAAAAGAAAGATTGGATGTTTGAGATGTTTGTCTTCATTCTGAATATGACTTAGCCAAGTGAGAATTTGAAAGGCTAAAAAGTAAAAAACTATGTGTTATTTTACTCATCAGAATTTTAATAGATTATGAAAGATACAAAGAAGAAAGACTTGTAAAACCTAATTTTTGTCATGATATTACTAGAATAAATTTAATATGCTTTGTAAGCTTCTGTGTAAGTGAAAGTTACATGAGTAGCCAGAGTCTTTCTCCTTTCCTGATCTTTACATATTTTTTTAAAAACTGCCTGGTTTCAGCATAGAATAAATACTCATTCAGATCAATCTCATATAGTCTTCACATTTGTCTTATTGCAAGATAATCATGATGAATCCCACAGCCTTTAGTTGTCAGTGATTTCAAAGAGACGTACCTAAAACCCTCAAAGATACGGTGAGTAGATACTATTGTTATCTTTTTGCAGATGAGAAATCAGAGGGCAAATTACTTTTTGAAGTAAGTGTTGTAGAGCAAGATGAGTGCTGAACCCACTTCTCAACTATTCTTAGTCTAACTCTTCTAGAATCCATGCTGAGCTAATGCTGTGGCCCTCACCAGACTTTCTCTGAAACAGAACATCCTCTTGTAGTCATCAAAAGAAGAGTTTATCAAATTTATACTCTCTTTGTTATGGGAGCAAATTATACAAAACATACATTTAAGAAAGATTTTCAGTAAGTGTTTGAAACAGTTTTATCACTTAGTTAACTAGAAAATTAAATGAGCCAAAATGGCTTCACCACGTAATACAAATTTTTAAAATCTATAGAGTCAACCACACAGTATATCAGTGTATAGAATATGACAGCATCTTCTTCCCCTGTGATGTACAAGTTTTAATTAAAGTGAAAGTCGTTAAGGACTGTTGGACTGTGAAGTCACCAGTCCTCATAGGACTGAGAACTATATGTAGCATTGCAGGTCTCCACCCCCCCTGCCTTAAAGCAGGCAACAGAAAATGATGCTGTTTTCATTAAGAGGAAAACTAAATTTTATACCATTGCAGTAAGGGATGAGCAAGGGGGTCTTGTTTATCCATCTGTTTCTTGATTTCCAGATATGGTGCCTGGAAAAAAAAGTCATTATGCTCCTTGATTTTTCTTAAATTATTTTACTTTGTTTTTTGCAGAAGGAAAATCACCTTGAACAGGTATGTCTAATCCAGTTAAACGTGAAGACTTGTGGTTGTAACATGATAACAGTGACCATTACCCTAGTTGCTTCTCCCCAATATGGCATGAACTCTGACTTTCCATGCTGCACAAAGGACTTGCCAGAACATTTGGTTAAGAGGCTTAAATCAAATTTTAACCTGGCTCCCATGCACTGGGCCAAGTCCCTGGACTCCTGCTGAATCTTTGCTCAAGAAAATCCAATGCTGCCAAAACACAAAAGGCACCAACCCACACTGCTAACCATTCAGTAATTCTCTACTTATCTCCTGTGAAATTTCCCAGTTGCCCAAAGTCCCTTATTTTCACTTCTCTGTAGCCTCTTTTTGCTCCCCCTTTGTTTTCACCTTAGAAACCTTGGTCACCTTGTTTTACTCAGAGGTGACCTCAGTTCACACTGCCAATCTCTCTCCTCCACTGCAGTACTTGATTAAATCTGTCTTGCCACCTTTAGAAGTATATGGTCTCTCTTTGACACTTTTAACTTTTAACTGACATTAAAGCAAAACTTGTAACAGCTATAATAGTGCTCATATCTGAGGGTACTGACGCTGGGTAGATCATTCCATGAAAAATCTGGACAAGATTTATGTAAGAAGACAAGTCCTTCTTTTAAAAGTATTGATGGAATTCACCCAGACAATTAACCTTTTCATAGAACGAAAGGCAATCTGTTTGTGGTAATTTAGGTCTCCTCTATAGGGCAGTACATTCTAGAAAATAGGACAGTATAACGTTATATTTATTTGGAGAGGTTTAAAGCATCTGATGCAATAAAACCTAAACAGCATCCTTATGAGGTGTACGCTGAAGGAGGATGCAGCATTACTCTTTACTATCTCAGCAGAGAAGAAACTGAGGCATCAAGCAATCAAGCAACTTGCCCAAGGTCACAAGCCACATCACAGATGAGGAAATTATACCACGTGGGCTTCCAACCTCCCAAGCTGACACTCAATCATCTCCACTGCCTCCTATTAAAATAGCCTACACATGACCCAGAATAAGGGAGGCAATTCTTGGCACAGAGCTGATCCTAGAGACAGAGTTTGTAGCTATTCTTAAAACCAAGAATGGTCTTTGGTGACTAAAAGTGTATAATCATGGGTAAGGTACTGCAGTAGGTTCTTTTGTCCCTGTCAGTGGAAATGCTTTGATTGCTTTCTTTTCCTTATACAAATAATACATAATTTTTTGAAAAGGAATTCAGATAATGTAGAAAAGGTATAGAAAAATCGCTAGAAAGAATGATGGATTTTAAGCAAATAATGTAACCTGTGAATTAAAAGATCTCTTATTTACCATTGTCTGACACCTACTATTTGTTGAATGAATGAATATTTGACTTCATAAATAAGTATCACAAGAATCAAAGATTTATATTTGACAGAATATTTGTTTTTATTTTAACATTAAAATGATGTTTTGAAATTACTACCATTAATTAAAACTGACAGTCTAGGAAGATACCAGATTTAACTTTTGCCTTAAGATATTCTGACAAATTCTCATCTGAGTTTGAGAACAGAGAGTTAGGATTATAATTATGCAATTACCCTCCAAAGTCACAGTGGTAGCATGCCAAAACACTGATGTGATTTCATTAAAACATCCTAGTACAAAACAATTTTAAATTTTTTATGATTTTAATTACACTCTCACATAATAGAAAAGTCTTCATGTTACTGCATAGTCAGTACTCTCAGATATTTTAAAAATATCATTTCACTCAAGCAAAACTGAACTGTATAAGACCACAAGATGATACACTTACTTGTGTCATCTCTCTAATAGAAGTTATGCTATCCAAGGCTTTCATTACTCGATCATAGTTCTTCTTCTGTTTGAAGGGGGAAAAACAGTATTCACTACAGGCCTTTGCAAGTCTGCACATCACTAGACAAGCATACTATTTCTGTACCTGAATTTTCCATCAGGGTCAATTTGAAAGCAATGACTGTGTTGTGTACATAAAAGGGAAGACTTTAATAAGATGGCTCAAGGACATAACATTTATAACTGAATCAGAGGGAAGAAAAAAGAAAACAATGCCAGTTTTAGTGTAAGTATCAGTACATAAAACCATGTTCAGCTTACAGGGGAAAAAACTCTTAAGTACAAAAAAGATATTAGGCTCCTGATTTTTGTTTTCACTACTAAGAAGTTAAGCCATGATGAATAAAGTAAGCACAGAATCCTTCTGAAACATGAAAATGCACTTTAAATCTTATAATTTCATCTTGCTTTTATTTTCTTTTGATTAGAAGATTGTTACCAAAAGTGTGACTAGTAAGTGTGTAAATGACACCATACGCTCAACTGATAATTCATTTTTAAGCATACTGTAAATATGTGTGCTATTACCATTTATGAAAGAAGGAAAGTTTTTCCTAGGAAATTTTATACAGTCATTGTTTCCATAAAATGATTTCAAGATAAGTAATAATAGAAACTGAAGCAATTTTGTCTCTCATGCAACTTGAAAATTGTGTGATTTCAGAAGAATTCTGCCTAACCTCCATGAATACTTACGAAATTGGTGTCTCAAGAAATGACAGTTGATCAACAATAGTAATTAAACTTTTAATAACCTTCAGATAACTGGGGAGTTGGGGGGAGGAAAGCAAGAGAGGGTGAAATGAAAATATGAAAGAAAAGGGAAAATTTGTCCCCTTACTCATGATCCTTAAAATGAGACTATATATGTTATAATCTCAAAAAAATATGTAATGAAATTAAAAGTCATATCGACCATTATAAACCAATTGATTATAGCTATTTACTTACCTTCTATGCAGTTGGAATGAGTAAAGATCAGCATGTGAGAGAATTAAATGGGTCTAGTTTCATGACAGTGAAGTTAGGAAAATGATTTAAAGGAGAAAAGGAGAGATGTAACAGGGTACATGAAAGACAAGGTGGAAGTAAATCAAATTTGTGGAAAAGAATCATATTTGCTAAACAGATACAGAGTTCATGACAGGTCATGGATTTGATGAGACAGTAACTTAGCTAAGAAAGAAGAATGCTAGTGAGACTGAAGTCTCAATCATTATTATTAGAGGAAACGGGTGCTGTGCAGGGGTGAATACTTACCCTGGGGTTGAAGGCCAGCATCTGAGGATCGTTAGGATCTACCACAGAAGGATATGGCTCGAAAATGACAACTTTTCTAGGAGATTCCAATGCAGACCTACACATGGATACTAGTAGATCTACCACCTTGAAATACATACATAAGATAGTTACTACCCTTCAGGTTTTATCAAGAGTTTTGCCATTGTTTCTCCCTCTCATGGTAATTAACTGGAAAGACTCAAGATAGCTATTAATCTCTGAAATCTTTAATTTGTGGCTTCAGACTAAGTTTGACGAAGCTTGACTATTAATTTAAAGTAACTAATACGCGCTGCTTCCAACTACTCACATTTTAATATCTCTGTCTCTAACATGTCTTTGTCATGAACACATACAATGTGCTAACAGTGATGCAGGCTCTCTGGCAGCCCAGTGCATGAGACAGGCCCTTGCTCTTGTGGAATTCACATTTCAATGGAGAAAGTGTGTTGAAAAACAGTTAAACAAATACATGCTTAAAGACAGTTCCTGGCAGTGTTAGATGCTATAAAAAATAAAGCAGGCTTTCGACACCAAGGCAGTAGAGGGGACTATTTCAGAGTGGCTAGGAAATGTGGTGATGTTTCTACAGAGACATGAAAGAAGTGGGAGAGGAAGATGTGTGACTATCTAGGAAGAAACCATTCTGGGTGAAGGAAACTGCAGAGAACGAGTCCGACCTACTCCAAGAAAAAGAAATATCCTGACATCATCTCACTTCTTCCTACTCTCCTCTGACATAGGCCATTAAAGAGCTTTGTCTTATTAAGTAAGATGATTTTATTCCTATGTTCTTCCATGATTCTTCTGCAAAATTTTCTAAGAGGCAGTACTACGGAGCAGTTAAGAGCATGGCTCCCTTCCCTAGTTTCCAAAACAATATGCTCTAGCAACCAAATCAAGAAAACCAATACTAAGTAGAGAGAGCTCGTCAGAACACATGTAGCTATAGTGTGATGACAAGAGACCTCATAAGGAAGCAGCTGACTTAATCTTTTTAAGGAAAGATATCACCAGAAAGTTTTGAAACAAGGCATTTAAACAATGCACAATAAGAGCAGGGCAATTTTTGATTCTTAAAATGTGGCTAATGAGGAGGCATTGTGGCCTAATGACAGTACGGCTCACTGTTGTGTGTGTACTCACAAAACACATCCACCCAATCACAGCATCCAGAATTCCCAGGGGCTGAAAACAGTTAGCAACACTCAAGCCATAGGGCATAGGATCTATAGACAACACACCCCAAAGTACACAGACATAGATACCCCTAGGACTTACTCAGAAAATGGTAAAACCAAAACAGCTACTATGTCTCTACCACATTATTCCATTTATGTGTGTGTGAGCACACACACTGGATTATAAGCAACAGGTGTAATAATAAAGATATAATATACCAGTCCAAGTTTGATGCATGAAACAGGGCACTCAAATCCAGTACACCAGGACAACCCTAAGGGATGGGATGGGGAGGGAGGTGAGGGGGGTTTCAGGATGGGGGACATGTGTACACCCACAGCTCATTCATGTCAATGTATGGCAAAAACCACTACAATATTGTAATTAGCCTCCAATTAAAATAAATAAATTAATTAATTTTAAAAAATAATAAAGATGTAATAAAACCCTCCTTTTTGTTTTCCTCTCCCATACCCACACCCCTTCTACCCCAGAAAGATGCACCTTAACCCAGATACAAACTATTTTCAGCATTATCTGACCTGTTAGTAAAGTAAAACCCAAGCAAGAATTCCCAAGAAAGACTCATCAGTAAGATAAAAGAGCCTTTTTTAAAACTTTTGGAGTCAAGAATTGGTACAATTTTATAAATATCTTTAAAAATTATATGGCATAGTATGCATTTGAAGCTTTGTAAAAATATATGCCCTTTATGTATGTGGTCAAATAATCTTTGACAAGGGTGCCAAGCAAGACCACTTAATGGGGAGAAGAAAGTCTTTTCTACAAATGATGATGAAAAAACTGCATATACACAAGCAGGAGAATGAGGCTGGGCCCTTATTTTACACTGCACACAAAAATTAACTAAAGTAGAATAAAAATCTAAACATAAAGCCTTAAACTATAAAATTTCTATAAGAAAACTTTATGACAGGGGAAAAGCTTCATGACATTGAATCTGACAATGATTTTGTAGATATAAAACCAAAGACATGGGCAACAAAAACAAAAATCGACAGTACAACTATACCAAACTTAACTTTTATCATCAAAGGATAAAATCAAGAGAGTGAAAAAAGCAACACAGGATGGGAGAAAATATTTGCAAATAATTTATCTGATAAGTGGTTATATCCAAAGTACATAAAGGACTCCTATAACTCATCAACAGAAGATTATATACTTTGATTTTAAAATGGGCAAAAGAACTAAATAGACATTTCTTTTAAGAAGATATACATGTGGCCAAAAAGCATATGAAAAATACTCAACATCACCAGTCATCAGAGAAATGTAAATCAAAACCACAATGAGATATCACCTCACAACCATCAGGATGACTATTATCAAGAAACCAGAAAATACAAAGTGTTGGTGAGCATATGGAAAAATTGGTACCTTTGTGCAGGGTTGATGGGATTGTAAAATGGTGCAACCACTACAGAAAACAGTCTGGAGGTTCCTCTAAAGAGTTAAAAATTGAAATTTCATAAGGATCCTGCTGAAAGTGACTATCCCACTTCTGGGTACATATCCAAAAGAATTAAAATGAAAACATCTTTAAGAGATGCTTGTACACCCATGTTTACAGCAGCATCATACACAATAGACAAGAGATGAAAGCAACCAAAATATCCACTGGTAGATGGATGGATAAACAAAATGCTATAGACACATATAATGGAATATTATTTAGCCTAAAGAAGGAAAAGTCAGTCACCTCTTACAAAATGGATGAACCTTGAGGACATTATGCTAAGTGAATAAGCCAGTCACAAAAAGTCAGATACTACTGACTACTATCATGAAACATCTAAAGTAATCAGATTCACAGAAACAGAAAGAATGGGACAGGGGTAGGGGAAAATGGGAGTGTCTGAACAGGTGTAGAGTTTCAGCTCTGCAAGATGAAAATGTTACAGAAATCTGTATTTCACAACAATGTGAATATATTTAACACTACTGAACTGTGCATTTAAAAATGATTAGTATAGTAAATTTTATGTTATGTCTTTTTTACAACAATAAAAAAGGCAAAAGTGGATACAATAATAACCTGGTAAATGTTCCCCTTTCAATCAAATATTTTAATTAAACACCTTGAGCCAAAAGTTTCAAATCAAAACTATCCAAATAACTGCATTGTTTTGCCAATAATTTCAAAGTAAATTATAATGAAAATAATAGATGTCAGGGTAGAGAATTTAACTAATAGAATATTTTTGTTAATATACATCCTAAACTAACTTCAAAGTAACAGTGCAACTACTCTGGCAAAATTCCGTGCTGTCCACCAAAGTTTCATATGTCTTGCTTTCAAGGTGTAATGGGGCTACTGCTTGGAAGCAACTGCTCTGCAAGCAATATTTCTACCCTTTTTGTCTACATCAGACCATATGACTGATCTTAACCCATGGAGAGTAAGCAGAAAGGGGCTGAGCTGATGGACAGACAGTGTTCCTTTCCTCTCTTCCCCTCTACTATAAACCACATGTTGAAAACACAGCAGACCCACATGGTGGACTGAATCCATTTCCTTCAATGATTTCAGAGCTACCCAACAAACATTCTAACCAGACAGTTGTGTGAGTTAGAAATAAAATATACCATATAAATAGTTTATCTATTATAGTAGTCAGATTGGGAATCTTGGCACAGAGAAAGGTTTATACTACAGTTTTTGAATTTGTATTCTGTTTGCATATGACAACTTTTCCATGGAATAAAATGTTTTTTTGGAGAAGAGGTGAATTTTAAATTGTAGACCACTGGCTTTCAAGCATTTCAACAGTAATTCCTTTTTAAGAAAATTGTAAAAGCCCCAGTACATAAAAGAAATAAAATAAAATGGAGCTGCCTTCTGGTTAAAGCAGTATCTGGAGGCCTGGAATCCCAGCTGTTGACACACTCTTGTCCCAGACCAGTCTCCTGCAGATCCCTCTAAGGAATGTTCATGTAACCTCCAGAGCTCCTCAGAGCCCCATGAAAAATTCAAGGGTCAGCTGATGAAACAAGACTACAGAGATACAGTGCTATTTAGAAAAAGAATCCATTTACACGTAATCTCTAAGATTTCAACCAGAATACTGGGGTATATCTTTAAAAAGGTTAAAAGAATATTCTGCATTGGCATTCGAGTAGAATCACTAAATTCTCTAATTTTTTGGGGGGTGGGGATATTGATCTTTAGAGTGGAATCCTTAAATTGATCTAAGTGAAAACTTGTGCTTTGTTACTATCGTTACATAATCCAAACATAATTTCACTTTAAGATCCACTATTATTTTTGGACATGTATCTATAATAAGAGGGGAAAAAAGCACCTATTATTCTATCAACTTAGCCTACTGTTAAGAGGTTAAGTTTCCTTCTAATCAATTATGCCTTATTTCTAGGCTTTACTTTTTTCCCTGTTTAAACTGTATGAGAGACAATTTGCATCCAGTAAAATACTTAAATGTTAACCATACTACTCAAATAATTATACATATATACATATACATACACACATACATATATATCCATGTGAAAATATATTTATCTGTGTATATATATTTACATACACCTGTGTAAAGTTTATTTTTACACAGCTATAAATAGCATATATTAAAGTATCTTTTCTTTTTTGAGCAATATTAGTTTCCAAGAGATGAGAAAACCTTTTACATTAAAAAAAAAAAGACTCATCACAGTCAGATACATTTGAGAAACCCTCTAAGTATAGGCTAGTCATTTTCTTCAGTTTTAGAGATTCTTAGAGCATTTAGTATGCAGATTTGCACACACTGGATGCAAAGGTAATATTAAGCTGGATTTTTACAGTTTATTTTAACCATGGAATCATTTTGTCCATATCACAGCTGGTCAATGTTCTACTGTTTGCATCATTTTCATTTGTAACTCATTACGTCACAAATATTGCCCTTAAAATTTCCTCAAGTGTTGGCATCTCAGTTTAGCTCATCAGTGAAATAATTAGGTGAAGGGAGTGTAAGTCCATGAGGCCTGGGCTGTCTGTGTTAACTGCTTTATCTTAGTCTAGTGTACCACCTGTTACACCGCAGGCATTTGATATTTACTGCAATGATGACCATATGTCTCTTGTATGATCATTCTTCCCACCCATCTTTGTGAATTTTTTAAAATTCTCTTAAATTTAGCTTCCTTTGATTTTTAGTGAAGGTAAATATTTTCTCACGTTTCTTTACTAACTACAGGTTCATATTTGTGAATTGTGCATTCATTTCCTATATTAATTTGTAATGATATTCATGTTTTTCCTCTCAATTTTTATGAGCTTCCATGTAATTAAGTTAGTAGCAAAATACACTTTTTCAAAATTAGCTCTTAGTGCTCACTATCTTTTCAAATAAAAGATATACAATATGTATGGACTCAGATCTGTTGTTTTATGTGCATAAATGCATGAACCCGATGCCCTACATAAGCTGTACATGCTTAATTTGACTCTTCTCCAGTTCAGATATAATACTTTTAAACACTTACAAAGTAATACTTAAACTTTTAAAGTATAAGCCTTTCAGAATTTGATTTTGCACACAAGTGTAAAGACCTAAAAGTGCTTTTTCCCTCCATGTTGCAAGTCAGTTGTTTCCATCACACTAAACCATTTTTATTTATGGCGTGATGTGATACCTCCTTTAATACATAAAAACTCTATTTAAAACATGAGCAATTATGGGGATTATCAGACTTTCTAGTCAGTACTTTCCTTGCCAGTACTGTATTTTGATAAAATACTACAGGATTACATAATATGGTTTTGTATTTGGTTGGTCTGCTGCTGCTAAGTCTCTTCAGTCGTATCCGACTCTGTGCAACCCCATAGACGGCAGCCCAGCAGGCTTCCCCGTCCCTGGGATTCTCCAGGCAAGAACACTGGAAGGGGCTGCCATTTCCTTCTCCAGTGCATGAAAGTGAAAAGTGAAAGTGAAGTCGCCCAGTCGTGTCGGACTCTTCGCAACCCAATGACTGCAGCCTACCAGGCTCCTCCATCCATGGGATTTTCCAGGCAAGAGTACTGGAGTGGGGTGCCATTGCCTTCTCCATTGGTTGGTCTAGCCTCTCTTAAATAACATTCATTATTTTTTTATTTTTGGAATTTTTCTCCTCTATTAGTATTTCAGTCATGTTCAATGAATGAACAAAAACTAGTTGAAATTTTAATGAAATTGCATGATGTAATACATTTTGGCATCTTAACAACTGATTTTGTTTTTTTCCTTTCCAGAAACATGGGACTCTGCTCTACTTCCAAGTTTTTTCTTTGTTTTTATATTTTTTCTTCCTGTTATAAACACTACTATTGTAAAACTGAATGCTCTCTTTTTATTACCTGTTCTGCCCATTATCTTTTCACCTAAGTTTTAAAAATAAATTGGCTTCCATTTTATGGCACTGTAACTTTACAAATAAATTTTACATAATGCAAGTGCAAGGGTTTCAGTATCTCAGTTTCACCATATAAAAAAGAAATGCAATTATTTTTCAAACAATTAAAGTTGGTTTAACTTCTCCTCTTGCCAATTGTAAAATGACAAAACACATTAGATAAAGTTGGCAAACTGCAGTGTCTATCTAAAAATATCAAATGCCGGTTTGCTTTTTCCATGTATCAAGAAACTATCAAAAATTTGCCCCCAAAGAAGGGCAGAATAAATAATGTTTTCACATCCAAATATAAAATAATTAGTATCATGTGTTAGTACCTGAGCTCCAGTTGCTATTTCATCAGCAGCTTCATTCATTACTCCCAGGGTTTGAAAAGCAAATACACACAGCTCTCGTTCACACACCGTAGGCTACAAAAGAAAGAGGAATCAATTCAACATTTTTTTTTACCATCTTCCAATTCCTAAATTAAGTGTATATATTCTTTATAATAAATATAAAATGCAAAGTTTTAGAATATTATTAATAAAGAGGAAGAGGGGCTTCCTGGTGGCTCAGTGGGAAAGAACTGGTTGGCCAATGCAGGAGACACGGGTTCTATTTGTGATCCACGAGGATCCCACATGATGCAGCACAACTAAGCCTGAGGCGCCACGACTACTGAACATCTGCTCTAGAGCTGAGGAGCCGCATCTGCTGAAGCCCACCCATCCAGAGCCCATGCCCCACAACAGGAGAAGCCACCGCAGTGAGAAGCCCATACACCACAGCTAGAGCCTCCACTTGCCACAACTAGAGAAAAGCCTGGGCAGCAACGAAGACCCGGCACACCAAAAGTAAATAAATAAATACAAATCGTTAAAAAGGAAGAAATACTATATAAATGTTATTTACAATAGTCCTCTCCTGGTATGGAAGCAACCTAAGTGCCCGTTTATAGATGAATGGATAAAGGAGATGTGGTATATATAAATAACTGGAATACCACTCAGTCATAAAAAAGAATAAAATATTGCCATTTGCAAGAACATTACGCTCACCGAAATAAATCAGAGAAAGACAAATACTGTATGGACTTCACTTATATGCACCTAAAAACACAAAACAAATGAGGAAGCATAACAAAATATATGCAGAGTCATAGACACAGAGAACAAACAGGTGGTTGCCAGGAGAGAGGGGGTTGGTTAGATGAGAGAAAACAGATGAGGGAGATTAAGAGGTATAAACTTCATTTACCAAATACATGAGTCACAGGGATGAAATGCACAGTGCAGGGAAGATAGTCAATAATAATGTAGCATCTTTGTATGGTGTCAGATAGTAACTAGAGTTATTGTGGTGATCATTTTGTAATGTAGAGAAATATCAAATCACTACGTTGTATACCAGGAACTATCAAAGTGTTCTACGTAGGTCAATTATACTTCAAAAACAAACAAATTCATAGAAAAAGAGAACAGATTTGTGGTTACCAGAAGTGGAAGGGTGGAGGGAGAGGAAATTGGATGGAGCTGGTCTAAAGGTGCAAACTTCCAATTACAAGATAAATAACTACTAGGGACATAATGTACAACATGATTAATATAATTAACACTGGTGTGTGTTACATTATCAGTTCAGTTCAGTTCAGTCGCTCGCTTGTGTCTGACTCTTTGCAACCCCATGGACTGCAGCACACCAGGCTTTCCTGTGCATCACTAACTCCCAGAGCTTTCTCAAACTCATGTCCATCGAGTCCGTGATGCCATCCAACCATCTTATCATTTGTCATCCCCTTCTCCTCCTGCCAGGATCAGGGTCTTTTCAAATGAGTAAGTTGTTCGCATCAGATGGCCAAAGTATTGGCATTTCAGCTTAAGAATCAGTCCTTCCAATGAATATTCAGCACTGATTTCCTTTAGGATGGACTGGTTGGATCTCCTTGCAGTCCAAGGGACTCCCAAGAGTCTTCCTCAACACCACAGTTCAAAAGCAACAATTCTTTGGCACTCAGCCTTCTTTATAATCCAACTCTCACATCCATACATGACTACTGGAAAAACCATAGCTTTGAGTAGATGGACCTTTGTTGGCAAAGTAATGTCTCTGTTTTTTAATATGCTGTCTAGGTTGGTCATAGCTTTTCTTCCAAGGACCAAGTGTCTTTTAATTTCATGGCTGCAGTCACCATATGAAGTGATTTTGGAGCCCCCAAAAATAAAGTCTTTCACTGTTTCCATTGTTTCTCCATCTATTTGCCATGAAGTGATGGGAACGGATGCCATGATCTCAGTTTTCAGAATGTTGAGTTTTAAGCTACTGTTTTCACTCTCCTCTTTCACTTTCATCAAGAGGTTCTTTAGTTCTTCGCTTTCTGCCATAAGGGTGGTGTCATCTGCATATCTGAGGTTATTGATATTTCTCCCGGCAATCTTGATTCCAGCTTGTGCTTCATCCAGCCCAGCATTTCTCATGATGTACTCTGCATATAAGTTAAATAAGCAGGGTGACAATATACAGCCTTGACGTACTCCTTTCCCAATTTGGAACCAGTCTGTTGTTCCATGTTCAGTTCTAACTGTTGCTTCTTGACCTGCATACAGATTTCTCAGAAGGCAGGTAAGGGGGTCTGGTATTCCCATCTCTTTAAGAATTTTCCAATTTGCTATGAACCACAGTCAAAGATTTTGATGTAATCAATAAAGCAGATGTAGATTTTTTTTCTGGAACTCTCTTGCTTTTTTGATGATCCAACAGATGATGGCAAATTGGTCACTCTCTGGTTCCTCTGCCTTTTCTAAATCCAGCTTTTATGTTATATATAAAACAGACTAAAATCCTAAAAGTTCTCGTCACAAGGAAAAAATGCCTTTCTCTTTTTTCTTTTATTTTGTATTAATATGAGATGATGGATATTCTAAACTTAGTGGGATAATCATTTCATGAGGCATTTAAGACAAATCATTATGCTGTATATCTTAAAGTTATACAGTGCTGTATGTCTCAATAAAACTGGAGAGGGTATGGGAAGAACTATTGCTTTATTTTAAAAAATTAAATTTCTAAATATAGGTAACAATTAGTAAATAGCCATTTTACTGATATAGTCAAAATATGATTATAATTTCATTTCAGTTAGTTTTAGGCACTTGCACTCAGAATGATTTAGCAATATGTGAAAATATCCTTTGGATCTATCCCAGGTGGCTCAATGGTAAAGAATTCACTTGCCAAAACAGAAGATGCAGGTCCAAGTCCTAGGTCAGGAAGATCCCCTGGAGAAGAAAATGGCAACCCACTTCAGTATTCTTGCCTGGAGAATCCCATAGACAGAGGAGCCTGGGAGGCTGCAGTCCATGCAGTCACAGAGTTGGACATGACCGAGCATGCATGCACAAAATATACCCTTTAAGTGGAAAATCCATCTTGCTTGCGTAATACACATTTGCATGGAAGATGCATTTAAATTAATACACATTTGCACAGAAGATGCATTTGAAAGCAGATAACTAAGCTGGCGATATACTAAAAAATGAGGTTCAATCCCAAGCTGTGTAAAACAAATCTACAAAGGAGAATTCCATTTCTTCCTAGGTAATTTCCTCTGGAAGAAATAAGCATGACTCTGCTTACTTGCTACCTAACTCTTAAAAGACTGGTTTTGTTGCAAAGATTTCTTGACTTCAATAACCTCCTGAAGTCAACAGCACTGAAATATACACTCTGCAATTGCCTTGGAAAAGCTCTCATCTTTCAAATCTAATACAGTGTCATCTGTTTGATTTATCTCATCTCCCGAGTTACATCGCATTAGGTAGCTGATGAAGCCTAACACGATGCAGCCCGTGGTGCCCGGCACAGCAGAGAGGCATATTTGTTAGTGCTACTGCTCCCATGCTCACTGACTTCAGAGGACGACTTCGTCCACTGCTTAACAAGTGGGGAAGGACAGCCCCATACTGAGCACCCTTTATGCTCAGAATGGGCCCGCGTGGTGGCTTTGTAGACAAAAAGCCAATCACACAAAGATTTCTGATTGACATTCCCTAAAGAAAATTTCCCTCCAAATAAATTGACGTATTTTCTTTGTCATTCTTAAAAAGACAGATTCTATTTCAGAAACATGAGGAAAAACTACCTATGGCAGGAAATTAATTGGACAAAGTTCTTCATCCAGACTCAAGCTATACACACTGCTGTATGCACTTGGATAAACTTAGAGCAGACTGTTCAATTTCTACTACTTTTACTTTAGCATTTAACTTAACCTTCTCCTATTTTTTCTGTGTATCTACGTGCATGTGCGGCTGCCCCTCAGTTTCTCCCACTGACATTGGGTTGTTTCTTTCGCTCACTTTCTGGGAGCATGGTATGGTCTGAAATAATAAGAGCAACCATTTTATTGCACACTTACTATAGTGTCAAACACTATATTGGTGTTTGAGTATAATGAAACTGTAAACAAAAAAGAATCCAGGGGAAGGTAAGCTTTGGAAATCATTAAAGGGCCACAGGAATTACTTCATATTCCAGATACCCAAAGTTCACTGAAGAAGTAAACAGAGACACAGAAGGTAATTTGTTTTTAATAATCCTATTGCCAAATAACCATACAGCTTTTTTAATGAATAAAATCCATCAATCCTAAAGATGAATATCATGATAAGGCTCAGTTAGTATATACGAGCAATGATCATTTTTAAAATTTTGTATTTTTTTTTTTTTTAGTTTCTTTTAAATTAAAAAGAATTTATTGGAGTATGCTGCTGCTGCTGCTAAGTCGCTTCAGTCATGTCCGACTCTGAGCAACCCCATAGACGGCAGCCCACCAGGCTCCCCCGTCCCTGGGATTCTCCAGGCAAGAACACTGGAGTGGGTTGCCATTTCCTTCTACAATGCATGAAAGTGAAAAGTGAAAGTGAAGTCGCTCAGTTGTGTCTGACTCTTAGCGACCCCATGGACTGCAGCCCACCAGGCTCCTCTGTCCATGGGATTTTCCAGGCAAGAGGACTGGAGTGGGGTGCCATTGCCTTCTCTGTTATTGGAGCATAGCTGATTTATAAAGTAAGTTTCAGGTATACAACAAAATGAATCAGTTACGCATTTACATATGTTTTAGATTCTTTGCCCACATAGGCCGTTGCAGAGTACTGAGCAGCGCTCCCAGTGCTAGCCAGCAGGTGCTTACTAGTTCTCTATTTATATACACTCTCGTGTTAATTCCAATCTCTCGACTTGTCCCTCCCCCTATCTCCCCTAAGTAGCTTTGTCTTCTACATCCACAACTCTACTTCTGTTTTATAAATAAGTACATTTATAAACTTTTTAAAAAGATTCCACATATAAGTGATATCATATGATATTTGTCTTCCTATGTCTGACTTCTTGAACCTTGGATAGTTAATTATATTTATTTTGTGATCATCCT